GGAGACAGGCAGCTGTTGGACCAACAATGGTTCCAACAAGACGGAGCCTCGGCGCACACGGCCGTTGCGACTCGAGAATGGCTGCGGAACCGATTCGGTTCGCGGGTTATCTCCCGCAGAGAGGTGCGGTCCTGGCCCCCGCACTCTCCGGATCTGACCCCACTTGACTTCTTTCTCTGGGGTCACCTGAAGTCACAGGTCTACAAAAGCAACCCCAGAACCACAGATGACCTCAAGAGGGCCGTGTCGTCCGCGGTGCGCCGAGTGCGGCCGGAGATCTGCCGGGCTGCGGTGGAGTCCGCTCGGCGACGCGCAGAGCTGTGTGTGGAGCGAGAGGGGGCTCATCTGGAACACGTCCTCTGTGGCCGCAAATGAAAAGATAGCAAAAAGAAGATGGTATCACGTCAAATGGCATCGACTATTGTGTATGTTAGAAAGTGATTCGTTTTTGTCATGCCTTCCATGCTGATAATATACAGCTTTTAAATACCGTAAACTGGGGTGGCTTTGAACTTCCGGGTGACTTTGAACGCCGTTCACTTCTTAGAGGGAATCACAAATATCTTAAAAATGTGAATTATATATGCAGCAATATTTTTTTACAGATAAGAATGCACATTTTTGAAAATGTACATGACATATTGGAAGATATGTACCTTAGTACATAGGAGTAAAAAATCAAAAACTAAATCAATGTTTTTAGCTTTTTGAGATATGCCCGTAAACTTCGATATGGCATGGACTAGTCATTATGGTTATGGAATGGAATGACATATTTTTGCCATCCTCGATGGTTGGCCTACATTGCCCCATCATAATTTTTTAGCTTGCTTGAGCATGGCAAATGCTGTGAAGGGATTTGTAAAAGCATGACATTTTTGGAATTTCGCTGGGGTGACTTTGAACGTGTTCAATGTAGCCCCGGTGACATGCATGCCTGACTTGTTGTTCAAAAGACTTGTTGTTCAAAGTAGCCCTACCAAAATACACTGCATACATTGTAACAGTGATCGTAACAGGGTGTAACATTGTAACACCCTGTTACATTGTAACAGGGTGTAACAGAGATCGACCAGCTGGTGTGCAAGCTAACCCAGCCTGACATGGACAGGAGGGGCAGGCTCCACTTCAGGAGTGAGGAGCTCTCACCATACAAACTGATGCTGGGGTAAACTCATGACTGACTTTCTGACGCTAGCAGGTGTACCTAGTGTTAAGTGTTAGTATTAAGGTGTTAAGTCGGGTGTCAAGTGTTAACTGTGTCCAAGGATACTCTGTACTCAGGTGTTCTCAGGTGTATTTCATGCACAGACCTAGTCGAGTGCATGCATTACACTTGAGTTGAGTTGAATCGAGTGATTTCATATCCTGTGAGTGTTGCTCCACTGCAGTGCCTATGCAAGTGTTAAGGTGAGTAAGTAAGGTGTTTGCCATGAAAGATGCTTCTTTTTACTCACTGTCTGTGTGCTAATTTCTGTGAATATGGTGTTTGATTCATCAGCAGAGGCTGCTACAAGAAGTTGTGTTTTTTGCTTGATGAGCTCGCCTTGTTTTGACTACTACCCCCAGGAGGACTTTTGCAGGCATAAATTGTTTTTGGCCTCTTTTTTAAAAAGCATCAGGGTGTTCAAAGCCACCCCAACCGGCACGAGGAATTGCACACCTAATGAGATAAATGATGAAAAACACAGACTGTTCAAAGTCACCCCATGGCATGGTGACTTTGAACACCCGACATTTTTTTTTTTTTTTTAATAGGGAAATGGCTATACCTAATTTTTTGTTGACACCATGGATGGATAAGGCCAGACTCAGCCCACAAAATAGTCCATGTTTCAGATTTCTATCTACAGTAGTTTTCAAGATATTCACTGATAAGTCTCAAAACTGTCCAAAGTCGCCCCATTTTACGGTACGACTGTTTATTTAGGAACTCCCGGTAGAAGAAATAGAACATTACAACATGAAAAGATTGGTATTCACAATGCAAAATTGTGATTGTGCCCTGTTTCATTTGCTTCCTTTAATCTAATCAGATAAGATGTGCTGTTTTTCTAGCTTAGCAGTTGTTGCAGAGAATGAAAAAATGTTTGAGGCATGCCTCCCACTTGACTAACCCTAACATTTTTGTCTGTTTTCAGTGTGCTGGACTGAAGCAGCCCAAAGCTGAAGATGAGCAGCCCTGAGGAGCCTGTGGTGGATGCTGCGGCCACCACACCAGATCAGCCTCCACCAGCTGCAGAGGTGCCTCACACTGACCCTGTCACCGCCGGGGTCAGACCCTCCTCGCCGGAGCTGCAGGGCTCTCCGTCTGCCGACCTGCCAACTGGTGGTGCTGAGACCATGGTGGGCAGTCCAAAGGAGGACGTCCGGGCGGCCGAACCCACTTCAGACACCTCCCTGCCAGCCGAACCCACCTCCGCTGCTGCCAGTCCGTCACCGGACACAGCAGCGCAGAAACGACCCGCTCCGCCGGCTGCAGCCGCTCTGGACACGTTCAAACGACCTCTGGCAGCGGCGCCCAAACGAAAACGCTTCAGAAAGACAGTCCTGGACGAGGATAACTTTATCCGTGAGCTGGAGGGTATCGTGGAGCGGGACTTCTTCCCGGACATGCGCCGTTTGCGCGCGCAGAATGACTACCTGTCGGCGGCGCAGAGCGGCGACACGGTGCGTCTGCACGAGCTGCGCCAGCGGTACGGCTCCGAGGTGCCGCGCCGGCCCGACACGGCCGCCTCTTGGTCCACGGACCCAGTCGGCACGCCCAGTCACTTCGACACGCCGCGGCCGGGCGACACGCCGGGCAGCTCAGCGGCGTCAGAGGCCGGCCTGGAGGACGACCCGGCCAAGCCGCTGTCGCTGAACCAGTACCTGGCCACGCACACCAGTGAGGATGACGAGAGTTTCAGCGACATGATGTCGGAGGCGCGGCGGCGGCACCGGGTGCGCCACCCGTGGTTTTACGAGGCCGAGGCGGCGCACAACGACCGACAGGAGAAGCTGCTGGAGCTGGAGCTGCCCTCGGTGGAGGAGCAGGCCGGAGGCGGCCAGCGGCCCGGACAGGTCGCTACCTGGAAATACACGTCCGAGAACGACCTCATGTACGTGCCGCGCGGCCTGGCGCTCACCGCGGCGGAGAAGATCGAACGGGCCAAACACGGGCAGGAGATTCTGACAGAGAACACGCGCTTCCAGGTGACTCCTTTCAATGAAGGACAGCAGCGCGAGGTGCTCAATCGTGTGGCGCAGACCCAGTCTCGGCGGAAGGGCGGCAAAATCGACGTGGACGGTCGTGAGCACGTGGAGCCGACTCGGCGAGGTCTCGTGCGGACCCCGTCACCCGCCCCCGGTGTGGACCAGTCGCCTCTGATGACCTGGGGTCAGATCGACGGCACGCCGTTCCGACTGGACGGTGGAGACACTCCGGCGGCGGCCTCCGCGCCCGCCACGCCCTCCTTCCGAATCCTCGAGGCGTCTAAACGGGAAAAGCTGGCGCACGAGCTGGCGGAGCGTGCCTCCTCGCGCCATCGCGACAAAAAGGCGCGCGCGCTGGAGACGGCTCGGCGGCAGGCGCAGGCTGTGTCGCCGGCGCTCTCGGACAGGCTGGCTGGCATGTCGCCGGCGGCGCGCAGGCTGGCCAAAGTCGGCCGGACCACGGACAAGGCGCTGCGGGCGTCCTACACGCCCAGCCCGGCGCGGCGGGCGGCGAGGTCTACCCCGGCCACCCCGACCCCGGCCGGCGTGCGACTCACCCCCGCCTCCACACCGACCGGCCTGTCAGGGAAGGCGAGCATCACAGACAACCTGCTGCAGCTGCCGACCCGGCCCCGGGCAGCCGACTTCTTCACCTCATGAGGACGTGAGTCACTGGGGTGCACTGCTGTGCCGTGTTATGTACTGTGCTGAATGGGAAGGTCTGTGAGAACTTTGTGCAAGATCTTTCAATGGCGCCGGTTTTAGAAGTCATATGGTAGGTGGTTTGAGAGCTGGTGGTTGTGATCTAGTGGAAAGCCGCTCGTCTGTTTTGTCGATTGTGAGTTCAGCGACGCCGTTCAAGGCAGGAGCACCAACTGGTACGAGTAGGACATAGAGCGTCATCTGCGTGAGGGTCGAACCGAAACCTTGTGTAGGTGGCGCTCTTGTAGCGTTGTGACTGCATTCTATCCTCCGGTTCCAGGAATCGATGGTTTCCTGAAACACTTGTGAAATGTGATGACGCATTGAGAGTTTTTGTATTGTATGTATGTGGTGTATCATATCATTTGGATATGCCCATCTGTTAATCTGTGCTAACATCACGGAACACATGGTCGATCCCTATGAATGAGGTCCAACTAAGGCTGGTCTGAGAATACCCAGTGTTTAGTGCGTAGCGTGTTTCCGTTTAATTGTCGATCATCCACGTAAGCAACACTGTATTGCATTACTTCTTCACCGGTTGATCGAATGGAATACATTCGAAAAGTACCCAGCCTTCGGACTGTTTCTTAGCTATCTTTAACGAGATTGAGACCGCAATCACGATGCACGGTCCGGGACGGTCTGCTGGAATCGGAAAATGACATGTTTGTTCGACTCATTTAGCAAGCAATATTCTTTTGTAGGAATTCGATGCTTCAATGTACGCAGCCATGAATGCTGAGATTCTGCTTGACTAGTATGAATTGACTCGTGGGAACGTGTTGAAGCGACCGTGTTATATCGCCACCAACCCGCGTACCCCTCCCTTCCCCTCCCCCTCGTTCCGCTCGGTCTCGTCAACAGGGCTCGGATTTCGCGCTGCCGTCTGGGGTCTCCCAGCCTGCCGCTACTGAGCCTACCCCTCCCCTCCCCGCTCACAGGGGACCGTCCTTGTCTGTGGGGCGCGTCGGCCCGCTTTTCACCCGGGTCGGCCCGCATTGGGGGGCGGGGCGTCGGGAGGGAGGGAGGGGAGGGGAGTTCCAGCTGTCGCCGGGTGGGGGGTATCTGCCGCGTGGTAGGGGAGAGAGCACTACTGTCGTACAGTGGTCCAGAGCCGACGCACGCGGCGGGACGCGTGGGGTCGCAGACGGCTGTGGGAGACGTTGCAGTGAGACGGTTTGGCTGAGGACGGTTTGAAGATTGGACTACACATTTGCGTGCATGGTGTAGAGCGCTTACAGCGGGTTTCGTACTTCACTGCCGACTTGTGTTAGTGTCCTTTTCTGTGGCTCGTCTCTGTGACACCTCTCAGAGCCCACTAACCGCCGAGCCACGCGGCTCGACCTCCCACCGTTCGCCGAGCGTTCCGTCGTCTCCGACGGCCGTCGGTAGCGGCGGCTGGCGCGTGCGCGGCCTACCTGCCCTCTGGTGCGCGGCTATTTTTAATCGCTCGCTCTCGGCGTCTTCTGGCTGAGAAGTTGGCCGCCATGGTTGTTCGCGAGCCGTTTGCCGTGGGGAGAGGAGAGCCACTGCTGGTCCGGGGAGCGACTCCGATCGACATGACAGGTAAGTCAGGAATCAGTCAGCTCACACAATCAGCTACGAGAAGTAAAAGCGTCTCTCATTTATTTGCGACATTTTGTATGGCTAGAGATGTGTATGCGTAAGATGTTTCGATTGCTCAATGCTAGTTCTAAAGGATTTGTACGATGTTCATGAAATACTTACGGAAAGTCGCCATATATGGGTGGGAGGACGTGATTAGCGTGACATCCGACGTGATTCCATCGTAATAGGTGACTCAGCGGGGAAGCAAACCGCAATAGGTATTTGTCACCGCTTATGGCAGGGTCACAATGGCATCATGAGCTAATTAATCCGGGGTCAGAGTGTTTTGTTGTTCGTTCATTACGCCGCCCAAATATGTACATACATTGTTGTGTTTCGAATGTGTCATTCTAGCTTAGTTGTGCGTCGGCGAGTGGGCCTGAATTAGTACTGTTTCGTTAGCGACAGAGACACGTGGAGGGACGGAAGAAGGGCGACGTTGTTCATGGGCGGAAGCCGCCTGCTGGCCATGTGTGGACGGGGTGAGAGGCGGCAGTGAGGCAGAGAGGGCGCAGGCGAGAGGACGGGTCCGTGTGTGGTGTTGGTGGCGTTGGAATGGAAATAGAAGACTAGACCAACTCGGACTTTTGTCGGAAATACCACAAGCTATTTCGGCATTTTTCTGGTTCAAGCGGTGAGGAGATGCCAGGTGAGAGCTCTGAGCCTGGTGACGGAGGCACCGGAAGAGCAGTGATGGAGGCGACGCCGGCGTTCGACGCCAGAACCATTCCGGAATTTGACGGAACTGGGAACGTCGTGGAATGGCTGGAGCAGGCTGCTCTCCTGTGCGAGCTACGCGCGGTATCGTTGATGGCGGTGCTGCCGACTCGGCTGCGCGGTGGTGCTTTCGCGGTGTGGTCGCGAATGCCTCCGGAGACTCGCCATCACCTGTCCAGTGTGAAGGCCAAGCTACTGAGGGCCTTCGCCATGGACCCATTCACAGCACAGGCCGAGATGACCAGACGCCACCTTCGTCCCGGAGAAACAGCAGACGTCTATCTGGCGGCGCTGCAGCAGCTCGCTGAGCTGATGGGTGGTCTCCCCGAAAGGGCCATCGCGATCGTCTTCGTCAACGGACTGCCGGAGACTGTGCAGGCCTCGGTCCGTGACGGGCTCGGGGAGAGCTTCACGCTGGAGTATGTCCTGGACCGGGCGAGAGCAGTGCTCTCCAGGGCGACGGTCACTGCGGCGGGGCCGGCGGCGGCGGCGGCGGCAGCGGCGACGGCGGCGGGCGGCCCGTCGCCCCATCACAGTGACATCTCAAGGTCGGCTCGCCGGCCGGGTCCGATCCGCTGCTGGACCTGTGGCCGGCTGGGTCATGTCGCCCGGATGTGTCCAAACGGCTGCGGCGGGGGAGCTGCATCAGCGCAAGCGTCTCCTCCGCCGCCCACCGCGCCGGCAGCAGAGCGCCGGTGATCATCATGCTACTCAACGGACGGCCGTGTCACGCGCTGGTGGACACGGGCTGCGAGGAAACTGTGGTGTTTGTTGGGTGTTTGAACAACTGGGATCAGTGTGAGATAAATATGACGGCGGTGAATGGTAGTGCGGTGCGATGCTGTGGGAGGGCAGATGTGAGTCTGGAAGCACAAGGCCGCCGAGCTGCGGTACGTGCTGTGGTGGTAGCGGAAAGGCTGATGGGTGTCGATGTGTTGCTGGGAATGACCGGATTGGAGGCGCTGGGCGGTGTGTTTGTTCGGGCAGGAGAGGTGCGACTCGGGGGCGGCGGTGTGACGAGAGAAGAGCGATCGGGGTGTGCCGGTGTTAGGGCCGAGTCGAGTGATATGTCTGTCGCTGTGGTTCAGGCGCGCGGCCCGGGGCTCGGGGACGGCAGTGTGACGGGAGAGGAGCGCTCGGAATATGCAGGTGTTCGGCCTGAATCGAGTGGTTCATCTGCCGCTGTGGTTAAGGCGCGCGGTCCGGGGGACAGACAGATCGAGACGGCGGACTTTCTGGCAAAGTTCAGTGCAGGGAAGTGGACAGTGTGGTGGAAGTGGGCCAACGGCAAGGAGCCTGTGAGGCTCGCGAATACTGTGCCGCAGTATCGCGTGCCGGCCGAGGCGCAGGGACAGTTCGATGACGAATTGCAGTTGTGGATAGATGAAGGTTGGCTGCAGCCATACGACGAACGAGAGCACGGACCGGTGCGCGGTTTGATCCCGCTCATGGTGGCGATTCAGGAGGCCAAGAACAAGGTCAGACCGGTGCTCGACTACAGAGAGTTAAATAAGCATCTGGTGCCCCATACGGCTGAAGCCGATGTTTGCCGTGACCAGCTCCGCAAGTGGCGCCGTCATGGAGCCAATGTTGCTGTGATTGATCTGAAGAAGGCCTTTCTGCAGCTACACGTGGCTCCAGAGCTGTGGCCATTCCAGACAGTGATTGTTGGTGGCCAGAGATATGCTTTGACGCGCGTCGGGTTCGGTCTGTGCATTGCAAGTGACGTCATGCGAGCAGTGGTCAGGGAGGTATTAGATCAGGACCCCGATATGGCAAAGGCTGTGCTACCCTACGCTGATGACCTGCTGGTGAACGAGACGTATGTCTCGTCCCAGCAGGTAGCGCAGCATTTTGCCAGGTACGGACTGGAGTGTAAGCCGCCGGAGCGCGTGACAAATGAAGCGGGAGCGAGAATGCTGGGACTGCGCGTGAAACAGGGCTTCGACGGCGCACTGCGATGGACGCGGGACGACGTGACACCGTCAAAGCCACCTGAGGTGTTGATCAGGCGCGCGGTCTTCGCTTGGGCAGGTCAGCTGACGTCACACATGCCTGTTGCCGGGTGGCTGCGACCAGCCGCTGCCTGGCTAAAAAGGACGGCGAACAAAGCGAGTGACGACTGGGACTCGCCGATCGGTGACAATGACTTGCTCAAACAGGTCACTGACGTGGCCCGGCGGGTGACGGAGCGCGACCCAGCACGGGGACAGTGGTGCGTCTCCGGCGAATCTGTCACCGTGTGGACTGACGCCAGTGCTATCGCCCGCGGCGTGGTCCTAAGTGACCCTGACACGGGCGAGGTGATCGAAGACGCCGCGTGGCTGCGCACCGAGGTGGACACCGACATGCACATCAACTTGTCTGAGCTAGATGCTGCGTTGAACGGTGTCAACATGGCCGTGGCGTGGGGTTTCAGACGGCTGAACCTGCGCACGGACTCCGTGACCGTTCAGCGCTGGCTTACCGACGCGCTGACAGGCCGAGCCAGGCTACGCACCAAGGCGCAGTCTGAAATGCTGATACGGCGGCGGGTGGCAGTGTTCATGCAGCTGGTGACGGAGTACGGTCTTGCCGTGTCGGTAGAACTTGTGCCGTCAGCGAATAACCGAGCCGATGAACTGACAAGAGTGCCAGGGGAGTGGCTGAAGGTCAAACCGCCAGAGGCCGTGGGCGTGGTGGCCGCCGTGAGGACAGCGCGTGCAGAGGACATACAGGCGGTGCATGAGAGCGTGGGCCACCAGGGGGTGCGCCGTACTTGGTGGTACGCGCACCGAGAGCTGGGCAGCGGGGCCGTGACGAAGTCGGCGGTCCGGGCGGTCGTCAAATCGTGCCAGGTGTGTGCGTCCATCGATCCTGCCCCATCGCGGTGGAAGCACGGCACCCTGGAGGTCGACCGTACCTGGGAGCGGCTGGCGATGGACGTCACACATTTTCGTGGCAAGACCTACCTGACCGTGATCGACTGCGGACCGTCTCGGTACGCAATGTGGCGCGAAATTCGCCGCTCTGACGGCAGCGAGATCGTCGGGCAGCTAGAAAGCATCTTTTTAGAGCGAGGGGCGCCGGCCGAGCTTTTGATGGATAACGCGACGGAGTTCAAAGGACGAGAGTTGAAGGCGTTCGCGGCGCGATGGGACGTGAACTTGAGGTACCGCGCAGCATATGAGCCTGGCGGGAATGGTATCATCGAGCGCCATCACCGCACCATCAAAGTGATGGCCACCCGTCAGGGCTGCACCGTGCCGGAGGCTGTGCATCGTTATAATGTCACGCCCAAGGACGGCTGTGATATCGCGTCGGCCCCCGTACACGGCGTGTACCGTCAGGCTGGTAGGGACTTGTGTGTACGGTCACATGGAGGCACATCTGTTCCTACTGCCCGCCAGCCTGGCGTATTTCAGCTCGGAGACGCGGTGTGGATTCGGAAACGGGGTGATCGGTGCACCGCGGTGTCCAGGGAAGGCACGGTCACTAAAATCGTCTCACCGCAGACGATAGAGGTGGACGGTGTGCCGTGGCACGTCCGAAACGTGCGGCATCGTCTGGTCGATGACGCGACAGTGATTGCGACAGAGGACGAGCACGGGCAGATGGACAATGACGTCCCTTGTCCGGTTTCGACCGTCCGGGCGCCCGGGCGGCTGGCCATTGAGGCCCCGGCGACGGCCCCGACGGTCGCGCCGACTAACGACCCTGCCGGGGACCCGCAGACTGAGACGGGAGGTGACGTGAAACTGGAAACGGACACCGAAGGCCAAGGTTCGGCTTTGGAAAATGAAAGGCCAAGTGACCGCAGGGATGAGGCTGAGGGACCGGCGGAAGGTGGGGGTGGACCGTGTAACGATAGTGAGACACTGAGAAGGGGTGGGCGCTGGAGACGGGCGACACAGCTGTACGGTGACCCCATCCCGAGCGAGACGGTTGAGTGAATGTGTTCCTTTAGGAACAGGGGGGAATGTGTTTCGAATGTGTCATTCTAGCTTAGTTGTGCGTCGGCGAGTGGGCCTGAATTAGTACTGTTTCGTTAGCGACAGAGACACGTGGAGGGACGGAAGAAGGGCGACGTTGTTCATGGGCGGAAGCCGCCTGCTGGCCATGTGTGGACGGGGTGAGAGGCGGCTGTCGGGCAGAGAGGGCGCAGGCGAGAGGACGGGTCCGTGTGTGGTGTTGGTGGCGTTGGAATGGAAATAGAAGACTAGACCAACTCGGACTTTTGTCGGAAATACCACAATTGTTTTTACGCCTTTGATCCGCGCCTGGCCTGGGTCCGTTTCTGATAAATGAGTCTCCTTGGGTAATGGGGCAAATTCTTCCTTCTTACTACACGCCCTTGAGTGGTTCACTACAGCCAGCTGCCGTATAGTTACATCAACACCATTATAATTGGAACAAGAACCCATCTTTTATCGGCAATCTCCCCAACAGACCCTGCTTCCGACAACCTAGCCCCCCATTCCCCCCTCCCTCCCCGAATTGCTCCCTTTCCGGCGTGGCCAGCGGAAGTTTCCCCGAGTAGCGCCCCGCCTGCGATCAGCTGCGGCCAGCTCCGATCGGCCGCCCGCTGTACCCCTCCCGCTCCCCTCCCCTCCGATTGGGGAACACCTGGCCGCCGCACGGGCCTTTGTAATCCGCGGCAGCTGGTAACACAGGGGCGGTCCGCCGCCCCATGGCCGCCCAACTGGGGACGGGGAGGGGCGGGGATGGACGGGTCTGTTTGCCCCATAGGACACCATAGGAATGGGAACGGTCACTGGCCTGGGAGGGATTAGGGTCGCAGGAGGACTGGGAGGGATTCATCAGCGTGTATTTGCTCAGTACGGTGGAATTCAATTTTGAGGCTTGTCAGTTCAATTCAATGTACGTCGGTAAATGAGGCCCTTTTCATGGGACAATGGCTTGGTTTAGAATGCGTTCAGCAAGATCTTTCTTATCACAAAGCTACGTGCCACCGGCTTCAAAGTGATGTCTTTACAACTTCAATGACGCTGAACCAGGCCTAGCGTATTGATTCAGGAACGTTCGTTTCGTAGCGCCGCATACCTACTCCTGGTGGCAGTCATCTCCCAAGTTGTAGGCCTCTTATGAGTCTCGGCCGTAGCTTCCTTCTCCGAAAGCCCAGCGTCCATGGATGGTCAGACAATCTGCATCAATTTAGTGCCAATAATTATGGGATGGCGAAAGGTATTTGAGCAGAGAATATTGATAAAACACTTCGCTAGCGGATGACCGAGGGCCCACACGAAACAACTGTGTGGGGTTTAACGCCTCATTATACACAGCCTTCGCTGACGCACCGTATTCCATCTCTCAGTGACAGCTCTCTTCAAATCCTCTCGCCCTGCCGCGCACTTCCGTTGAACCGTCCCGACTCCCTGCACCCTGCCTCGGGTCTGGTCTGTGATAAATATAGCGCAGCTGCTGGTATACAGGGGCTTCTTAGGCGGCCAGGCCCACCCCTCCCCTTTCTCCCGTTTCCTCACACAGCCAAAAGTTCACATGCTGGGCCGGTACAGTCCCTCAAACCATGCATAAACATAAACACGCGCGAAACGCACCGAGCTGGAAAGCGAACAACTTTGGGAGCTCGGCTCGAGTTGGCACGTAACCGCACTAGTCAGGGAGCTGTGCCGATGAAGCTGAAAGTTAAAGGGCTAAAGGGTCAGGGGCTAGGACAGTATGTTCTGATGGGAGGGGACGGGGCTAGCCTGAGACCGAGGACTTGCAGGAGGCCACGGCCATTTTTATCACTCACCCCTCCCCTGCTCCTCTCGGCAGAGGTAGCAGCAGAGACGGCAGCCGGGGACAACAGCCCACCGAGCTGTGTATCACCGGCCGCCCGAGACAGCGACGGCGGGCTGACCTCGCCAGGCCTCTCAGAGGTCAACTCGGGGTCACCGAAGACGGTACCGGAGTCGCCGACCGATCAGCAGGGGTCACCGCAGAAACGTGAGTGGATGGCCTGCGGAGGATAGATCCAGATGCTCCGAGATTGTGTCAGACAAGTCATAGAACATCTCATTTTGTCGCACATTGGTCGCACCTAACAATCGAAATCCACGTCATAAAAACCGAAAGCGAGACAAACATCACTCAGTCACTCCCGTTTTGACTCACCAACAGGTTCGTCAATCAACAGTTTCAGTTTCGGACGACTAACAGACGCCAACACATCAACACCGTTCCGATACTGTCGGAGTACCTACTTCTTCCCTTGCTGCCTCCTGTTCCTCACCGAACTATAACCGAGCCGGACTCGTTTCAGCTCTTACTTGTCTAGTGTCCACCTCTTGTCCAGCACTATCTGGTTCTGTTGTCCGGCTCTATTACCCCATCACAGTCCCACAGAACCTCCCACCTCCTGACACTAATAACACACCACCGACCCCCGGACTGACTAACAGCGACCGGGCGGAGTTCAGAGCTTTATTCCCGTTCAGCTGACCCGAACTGACGTCCAGTGGGCTCACTCATTGGGATAGGTAGGTAGATGGAGGCCATGAATTGACCACACACGGATCACGCTAGACTAGCTGCATATAACGGTTGGGAGTTGTGACAGCGGCGGTGGTGACAGAAGTAGACTGGTGACAAGATCAGTGACAGCTAGACGAGATGATTGCAGGGATGGAAGTGACAGTAATGGGTGTTAACACGATGATAATGGTATACGGCGAGCACCAACATACCCATAGCATGTATGAAGTACACCACTGACCAGCGACCACTGACACATACACTGACTAGGTTACTGTAGCGGTAATCACAAAGCATGACAGATGGGAGCACAATAGGACACTGTGGGAGGTTACTGAAGGTTTGGGCTGAGGAACGAGCGAGAGGACATCGGAGAAGTAGGGTACCTACCTGTGATGACCATGTCCTGGCTTCAGGAAATCAGCATGCTATATTATATATGTATGTACTGTCGCTTTGTTGATGACTTGATGTGCATTGACAGCTTACTCACAAGTCCTTGATACACATCACATTCACCCATCACTATACACAGTGGAGTTCACCGTTTCCTGCCCCGTGCTCGCCCAGTTCCACCGATGACGTCATTTGACGCGTGTCCCCAGAGCCGGTGCCGCGCGGCTACATCCCCCCGGCGCTGCAGAACTGTCTGCGCTGCGACGCCTGCTCCTGTATCTACCTGGACGAGCTGGACTACTACAAACACGTGCGAAACTACCACTCGTCGACGTCGCAGAGGCGGTACAGGTGAGGCTGAAACACGAGCGGGGTTCTGGCTCCATCGTCGTCATTCGTTCTTATAATTGTATGGGGATGTCCGGGGTGGGTATGTGAGGAAAGTTCCGATTGTTCAACACATATGTTATCGTGCGATCATGACGCCTCTCTCTGTTTTGTGCCTTGAATACGGAGCCGTTCAATAAGTGAACGGCGAAAGACCGCATCGTAGTGCGGTCCGTGGTAGTGCTTATAAGGTGACAGTTGAATTTACGAAGTTTCACTGACAGACCCTCGTCACTCTGTTCACAGGAAATCGGGCCAATGTCGGACGTGCGTGTTCACTAAGATCGAGCCGGACCCGGCTCCTACCCTGAAGGCAGCGCAGCAGAACCAGCGGCGCTCCAACAGCCCCGTCAAAATAAACGTCCTGCAGAATAACGTCAAGGTAGGCCGGCCGGGGAGCGCACGAAAGTCGATGGAAGGCTGGAGCCTTAGTGGAGAGAACGGATAAAACAGCTCTTAGCTGCGAGGGACACGACGGTGAAGGGTTAGATAGACCAGCTATCGTATATGCAGGCTGTATGTATGGGCTGTGGATGTTGGACTCTGGCCTCTTTTTTCTGGAGCTCGCTGGGGCCGCCAGCCCGTCGCGTCGGACCCGCTGCGTCGGTGTCGACTCGCCAAGCGCCGGGCTCGAAACATAAACAGGACCAGGTGGGGACCAGGCGGAGATACACAGACCGAGCGCGCCGGGACCGTCGCCGACGCGCCAGTAGCGCCGCTGGAGCGCCACTTTTAGTCGCCGGGAGACGAGAGACAGCCGGCGGTGCGGCGGGATTGTCTCCAGCGCGGCGGGTGGTGCGCGGGGAACGACGGGACGCCGGACAGACGGACAGGGCACACCTGCTTGGGGGAGGGGAGAACGGAGCCAGTAGACATTCGGTGACAATAGCCGACACCAAATATGGTCGTACATCTTGCATTGCCGCGTGTATCAATCGCATGCGACAATTATGTTCTTTTTGGTCAAAACAAACACTTTCTGAAAAGAGCGCTTATACTGATAAAATACTACACATACCTATGCACAGTCCTGTGTCCACTGACCACAGAGCTTGCGTCTTGCGTCGTCTGTTGCCTTGAAAGATTCGTAGTTACGTGTCTGCCGCAGTACGTTTTCTAACGACCTCCCTCCTTCCCGCAGAGCCGCTGGAGCCGCATGTTCGGCAGCCGCCTCCGGAGCCAGATGACCCCACTCAGCACCAACCTGAGGGCCATCGACCCCAGCCGCGTGCCTCTCAAGAGCAAGGTCAAAATGCAGGCCGGATTGCAGCCGTTCGTCGTCAGGGAGCTCGACGCCAAAATGCAGGAGATGAAACAACAGCGCGCAGCCGGCAGCGAGAAGGTTGATTCTCCCGGCGAGCTGTGCGGTGGCGATGAGAGCGACACCTATAGTGGCGACTGTGGCGCCGCGATGCAGGTGAAGGAGGAACCAAGGGACCAGGACGAGTGCGTTGAGCTGTTGCAACAGGTGGAGGTGCGAATCAAAACCGAGCCCGAGGAGACGGAGGCGTGACCTCGAGCAAGTGAAAAGTGCTCCTTCCCGTGCGTGCCTTCGTGTGTTGTTAGCGTTTGAAGGACATTGTTAGATGGTGGACAAATCGCTGAGACACCCTATTCGTTCAGCGTATCTGTCAGTAGCAAATATGCTAAACATCATGTGTCAGCCAGTGTCAGCTTGCTACCAAGCATGATATTCTAGTCACTAGTCAAAGTTGTTTGTAAACTGATCTTAAATGCCTTTTCCTGTGTGCATGTTCAGTTAGCGTAAGTTATTGACGAGCACAATCGTAAATGCGTAGAAACAACTGGTCAAGATATTTCATTTTCGAATGTTGATTTCTCAATAATACGAACACCGAGCTCAAGCTGTTGAGGACGAGCCGCATATTGTTGAAACAATGCAATATTTGTTTCTTGGTTGAAAATAAAATTCGGTTATGGAGGTAAGGATAATCCGAAAAAGAACCGACGTAAGTTGAAGGATTCGACGGAAGCTGTTATAACCATCAATCGGTTATGTGTAGGCGAACTATTCGTGGAGAACCTATTACTATGGCCGCAGGACAGTAGCGGCGGAACACCTTCAATTAAGGGGAGGGGGGGGGGGGGCATTGCCGACTTTTGGTCCCATTCTTTCCATGCAACGCATATAGGGCTAATGTTAAAAAATAAAATGCCAAAATCAAAGGGGCATGGTGCCCCGGTGCCCTCCCCGTTCCACCGCCTATGCCGCAGGACAGATTATTCGTCCAGTGCGCTGAAAGATATAATATTGAAGGCTTTGCATTTATTCGGACCATAATTCTAGCAAAATAGGCGTTACGATCTTGAACAGTTAGTTTCCAATATCACTATAACACATCATGCTTCCATTTTAAGTACTCACACCAGTGTTTCGGAAAAGTCATTGTGACGATTTCTGAACCAATCCTCACTTTTGACCAACAAAATACGCAGGCTGCTATCCAATAGTCGACTTAGCCATGTAAAGGAAAATTAGACACCACTTGAACACATGAACGCCAGAAGAGAACCATTCACGAGTTCCTGGTTGGAAAAAGCGCCGTTTGCGAAGAGCGAGATCTCATCAACCGCACAGCGCAGCATCACTCACATCCCACCTTTCCACAAACACCACACAAACTAAACACATTCTCCAGTCGCCAGCTCACACCAAACACTTTCTTCGCTCACCAACCAAAAATCACACACCCAACAAAACAGGCTCCTCCTGACAGACGGATAAGCGAGCTTTCCACAATTACAGCGACAGGTTCTTCATAATGATGACGATGATGATGATGGGTATGACTCCGACTCAGACAACAAACAAAACACGCATGAGAGTAACGCGAGGCGCGGCTCTCAGATCCCGACCCGGAACTGCCAGTGCCACCTTATCCCGGGGAAGTGATACACCACTATATCCTGGGAAGGAGATACCAACGCTCCAAGCACCCTGCCAGCCGTGGTGTACACAGTAGCCCTAGATTGTAACACTGTGAAACTTCGGAGTAGTAATACCCATTGTGACTCGTCACATGGACTGTACTTTACACTGTAAACCAGCCCACGGACTGTGGTAGACACGATGAGGCCCCGAAGACTAAGGATCACACTGTGAGAGGGAGGCGGGACATACCGCGACTCAGCTGTGGTTGCCGCGGCGGCCGGCCGGCGCAGCAGACGTACCGAGTCAGCACAGCTGCTGCAGGGTGAGAGGCACCACAGCAGCAGAGGTACCGGGTAGCTGGCAGCTCACGAGGCCCGCCGTTTGATGCTGCATTTGCCTCGCTGGAGGTGCGACAGGTAGATGCGTGCTTTGCTGTTGTCGGCCGTCTTTCTCACCCAGACCTGGTGGGTAGAGGGGCGGGGCAGCTAAGTAAGAACCAGTTGCAAGGAAGGGGCGTTTTGTATTGGTACATCACTGAGCAGCTCTTTCTTGTGACTCGCATACCACTAAGCCGTTCCCTTTCGATCAGCTCGTATCTTTCAGACCGTAACTTCAACATACTACCAGTGCTAACCGACCGCCGATAACTTACAAATGACTCACAACTTACCGTATCTAGTCAACTTATCGCATCGCGTTCACCGATATCCGACCGACAAAGATTATTTGCCCCACAGAGCTCTCACGCACTAGTCAGAATTTTGAGGCCAGAGGACTGATGTGCTAATAACCTACATCATCCGAGTAATTACGGTGAGAGCAGCTAACACACGCCAGACTTACCGCGTCGGCGGAGATGGCCGATATGACGGCGCTGTAGCGGCTGTTGTCGCGCGACTCCACGTATACCGGCTGTCCGCGGTGGAACCACTTGCGCTCCAGGAACAGCTTGTTGTCCTCGATGCGGATCTCGCTGTTGACGGCCGCGGCCGCCGGGGAGACGGAAGACTCGGGCATAAAACCTGCCGGGGGAGGGAGACGCTGATGACAGAGGTTCGGAGAAGGGCGGACGTTTGGCTTAGCAAATACAAAGTTTTTGAGGGTGCATTTGTACCCCGTCCACGCGATCCTCAGCTAGCCCAGAGATATCTCGTAGCTGACGAGTGCGGAAGCTACCTTTGCACTCTACGGCATTAAAATGCATTATCAACGGCCTGTGTGCATTGTGCAAGAATGCTGCAACGCGGGAAAATCATCACTACCCGACTCCCAAAGTTCTACAAAGTTCGTGCCCACACTAATCCAACTATACTCACTGGACTTCTTGGCGGGCTGCTGGGTGGGCAGCTTGCCCTTGGCGATGAGTCGGAGGTCGTCCTCCATCTGTTTCTCGTCTAGCTGGAAGTTGAGCTGGTTGGAGACGGGCTTGCGTCGCTTCTCCTGCGCCGGCACCGGATCGTTGGGCCGCCGGCGCAGTTTACGGGTCGGTGGCGGCTTCATCTGCGCAGTCAGGGAAAACGGGCCGGGTTAGTCACGGTGTGGTGAACCCGTGGTTAAGGGTGTAAGAAGAGGAACTTCCTGAGCTAAACTCCTTGGACAGAATCCCTAGGGATCGGAGGATACTAGTAAAGGATCGGAGGGGACGACATTGTTTGCTTTGTGGATGATGTTCAAACGAAACAAATAAAAGTAATCAGGCGCATGATATAAAGTTATCAGAAAGTTGAAATAATATCGACGAACATCGTTATCGCCCACGTTTTCACTTTTTCAAATTCTCATGCACCCATACTGTCCTCTAATTTGCATACTCCACTGTTCATCGATCTCCCAACTCACGTCCATGCTGTCTCCGGTGATCTCCATGCTCGCTCGCTCCATCTCGACCAGACGTCTCTTATCCTCCAGCTCTGCAATCAGCGACTCCCGCAGCTCGGTCCGCCGCTCCTCCAGCTCTCGCGTCAGCGCGCGCCGGTCCCGCTCGCACTCTGACTCGAATAGCTTCCGCTCGTAGTTGAACCAGAGCTCCGTCAGCCGGATCCTAGTGCGGTGAGAGTGGTAAAAAAGGTGAGATGGGAAATGTGGTGGCATTTTATGCACAGCAGTGACTGAATAACGTACCAAACTAAGCTGCTCAATCTTACTTATGTAGGGACAAAGTTGCGGACCTGGATAATGCATTATTGTTTGTATTATGATTTCCATATTAATATGCTTTAGTTTGAGATCAACTACTACACTCTAAATCGAAGAAAAAAACAGCTGCGATTTATTGAGCGTATCGAAGGTCCTAGTAGGTACGTCAGTGAGACGGCCACTAACCGTTCCTTGTGCTGGTTATCGAGACGTTTCAGTTTCTTGTTGTACTCGGGATGTGTTCCCTCTGCCAGCTGCTGTAGCTGGGCCTTCAGGTTGGCCAGCTTGTCCAGATAGATCCTGTGCGAGATGAGATAAGTATCGTCACACCACATCAATTTTGTGACACTCACTCATCCAGTTTTCCTTTCTAAAGCAGACTCTCACCCATCACTTCATCCATCCTCCATGTTAGCTCACCTCTCCTTGATCTCCGTGATCTCGCCCTCTGGCCGGTGCTGTGACTCTGTCTCGCTGGCGTCGTCCGTGTCCTCATCATTGGAGCCCACTGGCTGTCCTTCCCCGTCGCCCTCGTCACTCTGGTCGTCCATGTCACAGTCCTCCACGTGGGAGGACAGGAACGGCGAGCGTGGAGATGCCATCACAGACTGTCGGCGCAAAGGGGTTGTGTTATAATACATACCTACACTACACCCTCGGTCACATTTCCCATCTGTCCCGGTTGCCACAGCAGGCAGCACTGACAGCCTATCAGTGGTGGTGGAGCACCTTCAATTAAGGGGGGGGGGAGGCACTGCTGACTTCGGTCCCATTCTTCCCATACACCTCCCATTGGGCTAATGTTAAAATGCCAAAATCAAAGGGGGCACAGTACCCCGATACCCCCTCGTTCCGCCGCCTATGCAGCCTATGGCCTGAAAATCCACAGGCTAATAATCACAATGCTGAAATAAGAACACATGCATTTAAAATGTTCAAAATTAATAGCCAGTGGCTAATATCCCACTGCTGGCTAGAAATTCCAGCCTACTGCCCGACTGGAAAAAATGCCTCCACTACGCTGAAGTTCTCGGCGGAGGTGATGCGCCGAAATTTCGGCGCAAGGGTTTATGCGCCGAAATTATTTTACCGAGCCATGCTTCATGCGCCGAAAATTTTCAAGGCTTACTGATGGCTGCAGGCTGTAGCCACGCACTTTTCGTCGAGGGGGGGGGGGCTGGCGTGTGTGTGTGTGACTGTCTTCCAGTGACTACTGTCCACAGACGGTTGTTGGCACGGTCGACGGGATCGGGCAGACAAAAGACATCAGCAGGCCATGCGGGACCGAGCACCAGGGCTCGCTATCACAAAATCTCCTGACTCACAAACTCACTGGCATGTTCCATAACGTAACCTTTATTTTGTTGCCCGGCTCTGATCAGCAGTAGTGCTCAGCCGGTGACTGACGCCTGACGGGGCCTTCAACAGGCGTGGTGCAAGCACGGCCGATGGGATCGGGCAGATACCAGGCCACGCGGGACCGATTGCCAGCGTCCGCTCACAAACCACACGCCGGAAATACAGGAATCACAATGGTCAATAGTAATACGCACACGATAGCATACGTTATCTGAACTAGGGGATCCGACAATCCATAACCTCACTCTGGATCGGTGAACTGTTCCCGCCGTGGGAGAGTCCCAATCAGGTTCACTGAACATGACTTAAATACCCTGAGACGAACACGAGACAAGATAAGTGATATTTAAGATGTTTAACTCCCGAAGACATTTAACCCTCGCCGGCCGAGAGGGGTTGGTGCCACCCACGGACGTTTTTTTCGCGATTTACGCCGAAGTACGCCGAAAATTTCGGCGCAAGCCGTCGATTTACGCCGAAGTACGCCGAAAATTTTCGGCGCAAACGCCCAACTACGCTCGAGTTCTCGACGAAAGCGTGCATTTTTTCCAGTCGGGCTGAGCCTAGCATTGTCCAATTGTCAATTGTTAAAAATATTGTCGGTGCTGAGGCAGCAAACCTTGATTATATCATTCAACAAGTAAATCGTTATATTTTCACAGTAGTTCTCACTTCTCGTACCTAGAGGCTAGAACCAACACACGAATCAGAATATCTTCAGAGACGCGACTGGAAGGACAAGCGCGCGGAGCTGAGCGGAACCCTAAAATAAATAATTTTTATTATAGCTGTTCAGGCAAGAGAGGCCTCCGGTCTTTATTTTCGAGTTGCCAGGCACCTTTGCGGAAAAGTGAAGCTTCTGCATGATTTTAGCGACATGTTGCCTAGCAACGACCGATTGGTTCAGCTTTTGAATACAAATTTTGTCACAGCTGCGCAGTTTCCTCAATTTGTGGAATAATTTGAGGGTTCGACGCGACAGTTTGGGGTTGAGTGAGGTAAATGCCGTATTTGTTCAGTTTATTTTTAAAATTATTATTTCGCGTAGATTACATTAATACTAAGTGTGTGGGAATTGACGTTATTAACTTTCATTGATGCTTTGAATGACTGGTTTGAAGCATGATAGGTACGTGTCTTGGATGAGAATGTTGGCTGTTGAAGATCACAAATTACTTTTTTCATATTTACATATTTTTACAAATTTATTGCTTATTTGCTTGGCAACCTACTCAAATCATTGTTTTAATACATATATTACGTTTGGAACATTCATCGCTAGAAGACCACCTATACCACTATTTGCTCTGTCACTGGCTGCCTGTTCCCTGTTTGTGTTGTTAAAAATGTAAGCATTGTTGTATCTATTGCATAGGTTCTTACTCATGTAACCCCAATACTCTCAAGTCATGAGCAGCATTGTGGGCAGAGGGTCAAATCACAAACATAACTGCAAACCTTTATTCCGCAGCCATGTCTCGGAAGCTGGAGCCAGTGTGCTCGCTGTCCGGCCACACAGACCGGGTATGGCAGGTGGCCTGGGATCCGGCCGGCCGCACCCTGGCCTCCTGCTCGGCCGACAAGACGGTGCGGCTGTGGTCGGAGACCGGCGCCGGCTGGAGCTGCGCCACCATCCTGGCCGACGGGCACGAGCGCACCGTGCGCGGCGTGGCGTTCTCGCCGAGCGGCCGGCTGCTGGCGTCGGCCAGCTTCGACTCCACGGCGGCCGTCTGGGACCGCGAGCAGGCCTGGGAGTGCACCGCCACCCTGGAGGGACACGAGAGCGAGGTCAAGGCGGTGGCCTGGTCTCGCTCCGGCAAATACCTCGCCACGTGCTCACGCGACAAGTCCGTCTGGCTCTGGGAGCTCACCGACGACCGCGAGCTGGACTTTGAGTGCGCCGCCGTGCTGATGGCGCACACGCAGGACGTGAAGCGCGTCTCCTGGAGCCCGGTCGAGGACCGTCTGGCGTCGTGCGGCTATGACGACACGGTTCGCCTGTACCGTGACGACGGTGACGACTGGGTGACCGGCGCCGTGCTCAAAGGTCACAGCTCGACCGTGTGGGCGGTGGCCTGGGATGGGGCCGGTAAGCGGATCGCCTCGGCCTCCGACGACGGCACGGTGCGGATCTGGGCGGAGACGCAGCCGCCCGACCAGTGGAGCTGCGTGGCGCTCCTCTCCGGCTTCCACCAGCGCGCCGTATACGACGTGGCCTGGTGTCCGCTGACGGGCCTGCTCGCCACCGCGTGCGGGGACGACGCCGTGCGGGTGTTTGCCGAGGAGCCGGGCGCGGGCGACGGCGGCGCGCCGTCCTTTGGCCTGGTGGCGTCCGTGCCGCGCGCCCACGGCCGCGACGTGAACGCCGTCAGCTGGAGCCCCACGGAGCGGGGATTGCTGGCGTCGGCGGGCGACGATAACCTGGTCAAACTCTGGCGGGTGAGTGAGGAGTGAGAGGTGTGGCTGAGTGACGCTAGGAGGCACGGCTGTCGCGGTGCTAAGTGCAGATGACAATGGGGTAGCAAATGGACGGGGTCTGTAAACACAAGTATGTATAGATTTGCTATTGTTTTGCTTGAACTGAAATCTGACATATAAACGTACGAACAAATTGCACCAATTGTTTGCCTTTACTTTCGCCACATTTGGGTAGGATATCGTCTGAGATGCATGGTTTGGGTGTTCGGGTCCATAACACCCAAGTGGGTGTTTGGGTCGCATCGTTGGCGAATGGTCTAAGAACGGCTCAGCTATAAAGCAAGTTAAAAATACGCTGGGCCAGGTAGGATTAACAGACGGGGCTGAAAAATCAATCGTCAATGCTCAATCTGAGTAAAGGTATTGTGGTTTTAAACCGATTTTACCAGAGCTAGAACTTTTGGAATTCTTAAAATCCTAAATCTAAAAAATCTTCAGTTTCAAAATCCTATCCTGAGTAACGTTTCAGACCGCGTGAATAACAACGGCGCTGTGGCTGGTCATCGAGCCAATAACGGGTGTCGCCCCAGTCGTTTTCACGTTCACCCTTTCTTACTCGGGTCCTGGGCCAGGTGACGCCAAGCCACCTGTCAGGTCACCAGAGGTCAGCAAATTTAAATTTTCCTGATTGTAATGTTTGGCCACATTGGTCATGATTGTAAACAAATGAAAAGTCATCGAAATAATTAGATGGTTCTGTCGCAAGCTTTGTGACTTATGTGGCCTCAGATGCGACCTTAGGTCAACCATTGAATGAGCACATCCGAGATGTTTTCATCGCTTTAGTATGCACATAGAATGTATCAGAAGATAAAAATGTTAGGTCACCTGTGTGATTTTCCTATCAGTGTCACGGGTCACAGGGTCAATAAACATCTTGTGCATGGCATTTGAGTGCTTACAATGGTTCATGCGAAAGAAGGGTCTGGCATTTTCTCTCTAAGACTTGCATTGGAGAAAGAGGGGTCGCGAAATTCGCCTGAATAGGAAATCGAACTAAGTAATCAAACACATTCCTTTACATTCTGTCACCAAGTCGTGATCTCGTCAAAGGAGCAATGGCAGCATGTTCTGTTTTCTTGAGGTGTGATCACCTAATGTGACCTGCCGATTGGATTCCTTGCCTCCGGTCAGATCTCCGCTCGCCTCTCTGTCCTGGTTTGTGGAAATGTCAGCCCTAGCCGAGTTCCCATTGCGGCCCCTAACCATGTTCCAGGCTCCAGCAATGGTCCCGAGAAACTCGTATGCATCTGAATTGCCTTTTCAGCATCATTCGTGACCCTGCATCTCTGAAATGTTTGACATCGACCAGATCCACCATCCATTCACTCGCGATTTCCTAAAACAAATGTCAATGCGTATACAAACGTTGCCTGGGTCACAAACTGGTCACAAAGTACTCAAAACGTTTTGCCGGAAACGTTTCGGTCAAACGTTTCGGAACGTGTTCCAACTCGTGTTTGTCTGTTCCCTCCGACTCGTGACTCTGAGTCACCTCCGACCGCTGAGCTGCGGCCACAGGATGACGTTTCAAAACAGACCACTATCACATGTCAGTGGCGCAGACAGGCACCGACAGAGGGATGACGTGGTTGAACTTGCGAAGGTGGATAGACATTAACATTACCCTGAACGAGGGTAGTTATTTTGCATAGGTTTAGCCTAGGGTTTTTTTTTTACCGAGGGCAGCTCACCCCTGTCCCTCCTGCGTAGCCTGCCTGGGACCGCCACTGTCGGGTCGTCGGCCAAGCGCATGACGCAACACCGGTTGCGTCATTCCGAAGCTTCGCGAAGCTCGGTTGCACCACGTTACGGAAGGTCATGACTTGCATGTTTTGGTCTCAAAACGGCGCCGCCCGCCCACCGGCGCACAGTCGGTCGGACCGAAAGCCGAGAGCGACATCTAGTGGCGGAGCAACTGACGGCAGCGGGCAGAGACAGCTCAGCGTAGCCGACAGCGGACAGCGGTGACACCGACAGCAATCGGTGACAGCGGTGGACAGGGGTGACAGGTGACAGTAAGGTGACAGCGGTCAGCGGTGGCAGTAAGGTGACAGCGATGCCAGTGTGCAGTGAGATGCCCTGGGGCGGCCCGTTCCACGGCCCCCACGGGTTCGGTAGGGGATGGGCAGGTCGCGGCGGGTGCGGTAGAGGGGGTTTCGGGGGCTGCGGTCGCGGCGGTGGGCTGGGAGGCTGGGGTGCCCGCGGTATGGGTCCGTGGGGTTACTGGGGTCACCACGGTCCGCATCATGGTCCGCATGGTCACCGTGGTCATCATCATGGTCCGCCTCCCCCTGCTCCCCACTGCGGTCCTCCCCCTGCTCCCCACTGTCCTCCCCACCACGGCGGGCCACGGGGTGGGTTCCACGGCGGCTGCCGCGGAGGGATGGGCGGCGGTCCCATGCGGGGTCGGGGCGGGGTCGGGTCCTGCGCCAGGGGTGGGTTTGGGTCCTGCGCCAGGGGCGGGTTCGGGTCTCGGGGTCGGATGGGCCCTTGGGGATGGGGGCCGTTCGGAACTGGGCCTCGCCGCTGGAGCTCCCGGCCCGGCGCCTTCGACGCACCGTTCGACGATCGCCTTCTGGTGGCCATGCTGCTCAACTTCGACCTGCCAGACTTCTCACGAGATGGCGACACTGGCGAGGAAGTGCCGCCGTCCGCACCTGAGCATGAGGCCGAGCCTGAGACTACCGAGAGTGAGACCAACACCATCCGCATCGACACACGCCGGTTCAACCCTGAGGACATCCGCGTCAGTTTCTGCGAGGGCGAGCTGCGCGTCTCGGCGGCGCACACAGACGACAGCGGCGAGCAGGTGACCCTGACGAGGTCAGCGACCCTGCGGCCCGGGTCAAAGGTCATAGCCCGACTGGCGGCCGACGGGTTCCTGTATATCCGAGCCGAGGAGCCGGTGGAGAGGGATGTGCCGGTTCAGGTGGAGGAACAGGGCCAGGAGTGAAGGGCCGTGTCAGGAGAGGCAGAGAAAGGCGGAGAGATAGGTTTTCCATGGCAGCGCTAGAAGTTCCACCGCGAATAGGAAACGTGACAGTGCCAGGTAGAGCGCACTTTTTGGGTAGCGGAAATTGATCTTGTTTACAGGTTTTTAGAATAGGGAAAACGCGAAATTGGCTTAGCTTGCTTATGGTAACCCTGTTCAAAACATTTCTTAGGTAAACGTATTTTTTGTTCGGTCATGCAGATTAACGTAGCCATAACAAGCTCGTGGGCGATATGTCTTTAATTTCTTTATACGGTCTCTTTCATTATCGACAATTATTTAAGTTGTGTTTAGCTAAGGTAAATCTCCATTGCATGAAGGCTGAGTAGGAGCTCACAATTCTATCAATGTATACATAAATAGGTATAGACAAATGGTATAGTAGATAGCCGTACATTCAGTGATATAGTAAATGTAGGTGTAGCGCGATTGTGATGTGCAATGTGTGCATAAACATGTGTAAATAAAAATACGAAATGTTCAAAGCGCCTTTGCTGGAGTATTGTGGTGATAAATGGACTGCAGAGATCGACGAATGGAGTACCGTGCATAAGTTTGCATATACCTACCGCGTATGCAAACTTAAGAAACGGGCAAATAGTTACAGTCGGACATCACGACTGGGGGCAACGGTGGGTGCTAAGCCGGCACCTCAAAGATATGGCGAAGACGTATCGAGAGATGACACAGCCTCTCTTTCCTCTCTCCCTCTCTCTCTCTCTCTCTCTCTCTCTCTCTCTCTCTCTCTCTCTCTCTCTCTCTCTCTCTCTCTCTCTCTCTCTCTCTCTCTCTTCCTTAAAACACCGGCACCTTCATCACTGACTTTATTTTCGTTTTTTACTCCTGCACACTACGATCGACACGCCTCACCAATTACCAAATACCAGCACACCCGTATACCGTTGCGAATCAGAGCGAAGCCAGTGCAGCGCCGTCTGCAGCTCGGTTCGTGAGAGAGCTGGGGCAGCTCTGCGGACCCGGACGCCAGCCAGGGCGGGGCTGGGGTCGCCGGGGGAGGGGGAGGGGAGGGGTGCCTGACGCCGGCTGGCACAGACGGCCGGGAAAGCCGGAGATGAGTTCAAGCTGACCTGTGGTGACCCGGACGACGGGGCCGGCGAGAACCAGAGAGCAGGAGAGACGTAAAGAGAGAGAGAGAGAGAGAGAGAGAGAGAGAGAGAGAGAGAGAGAGAGAGAGAGAGAGAGAGAGAGAGAGAGAGAGAGAGAGAGAGAGAGAGAGAGAGAGAGAGAGAGAGAGAGAGAGAGAGAGAGAGAGAGAGAGAGAGAGAGAAAGAGAGAGAGAGAGAGAGAGAAAGAGAGAGAGAGAGAGAGGAGAGTGTGAGTGCAGAGTGGCGACTGAGAGTGCTGAGAGATTGCAGAGAGCTGATCGCTATGCCATTCGTTGGAAATCTCGCCTGCATCTTGCAGTTGCAAAGCGAGACAGATCACACGTCTAAGCATTGCCATTAGTCAAGGACGAATATTCGGCGTCTTTGTCATGCATGGTAAGGACTCGACACCGGGCAAGATTAGCCGATTATGCACCATACAGGGTTTAACACTTGCGGAGAGGGATAGGGCAAGACGCTCTCGCCGTTTCGCCCCTGATCAAGCTGGGGGTTCGCAAAAAACGAGCAGGTGTGCCGTTACGACATGCGCTTGCTGCGACTGAAATCCAATTAAAGGCCTCTAGTCAATTGATGAACTGTGAGGTCATGCCAAAATAGGTAATTAATTAAACGCTTATCCACAGTAGGTATACATAATACACTGCAAACATAGAGAAGTATGCATTTTATCATGAGACGTGACCAATGCGTAGTATACCTACCCGTCTCATAATATATTTGCCTACTGCTCAACAACTAACAATTATGTAAAACTCGCAATACCTGCGTTGGATAATGAACATAGAACAACCAGACCAGATGTCACGACAATCTTGGCGTTTTTCATTTGATTGCTTAGGAATTGCGTGAGGCCCAAACTATGTTGTTCATAATTTAGGCATTGTCAAAAACGTCATATGACATTGTGTCATGATTTTGATTTTGTGATGAACGATTGCGCCCAAAATGTTTATTTTTTACCTTCACTATTATAAAGTCACGAGCTAGAATCGGTCATAAACACAACCCCTTTATCT